TTACTATTTACCTCGCCCAAAGTCGAAAGTTTTAACTCCTAATGCATGGTTTTACTCTATTTCAAAACACGTCGCTTTTTTATACTTTATTATTTTATTTTTTTCCTAACCGTTTAAACATTTTATTGTGCAGTGTTACATTTTACCTAAATGCGATGCAAGCTTTAAATATGTTGCTTGTTACAAACAAAATACATTTTTTGCACGTTTTGAACTTTTTATTTGCGCGGACATCACACATGAAATTACAGTATTAATTTGGAAAAGAATAATAAAATTGATCATTTTCACATTATTCGTAAAAACTAATTTATACGAAAGTACGTATAAAATCATTTTGCTTAGTTATATATTTCTTATTACTTTGAAAGGCAAACTATTAATTCTGTAATTTAAAAAATTATTTTTCCTTATTATGCAAAAATACAAACATTTATATTTCTCCATTCAAGTACAGGTCTTTATGTTATTAATATTAGTTTTATTGATTTCAAAAATTATTTAGTTGTTATTTTAAATGTTGCTTATTTCCACATCTGTTACTTTTCCCATTTTTTTGTGATTTGTTATAAATTTGAATAATTTTACAATGAAGATGAGTCCATTTGGTGATAGTATTACAGCGCTAAATTGTACCATGTTTCACATAGCTTTTGTTAATTTCATTCGTTTTATATTTTTCACTAAAGAATTATCCAATGGTAAAAGTATTAAGTATAGTTCATATAATAATTTTTATATTTACAAAAGTTTTAATATACTTCTGACTATACTGCTTATGAAATGTAAAATTTTTATCTATTTCGATACAATTCATCATTTATATACACTCATACTTTAAAATTTATAATGAATCCATTCAATTTTATAATTTTTTCCTATGTCTCAACTACCTTTATACTTTTACTGAAAACTGCCTCTTCTAAAAGAACAAATAATTTACTCTTGTGGCTTACTTCATCTAGATTATTCATAAATTGAGTTTATATGTCAGTAAATGATCTATAAATTAATAAAAATGAAAAATATTTACTGTTCGTATATATGAAGTTCTTAAATGAAACAAAAATCATCAATATTTAATAGTACAGCAAATAATATAAAGCAACATTTAATGAAATGGACAAGATAATCTCTTATCAATTATTGGAGCCATTTTATAAAAAGTTATCAAATTGAGCATTCACACAAATGACAAACTTTTGGACTGAACACTCTTAATACAACTGTAAGTTAACGGATGAAAAGAAAAGTTACATGTATTATCAGTTGATTTTTCATTTTATTATTATAAAGATTATACAAGATTCTAAAGGTGGGACCAGCATGGGTTCGACCGCGAAAAAAGAAGACAATATTCACTTTCGCATTGTACACAAACTCAAACTTGACGTACATTCTCTTGCGCAAAATAATAATTCTATATTAGTCTAGAACCTTCTTAGTCAAATTTCTCCTTAATACATTCGAATACATGTATAGGCTTTTCAGTCAACGCGCAGAGAACGTAAGCTCAACAAATTTTGTTTGATCAATCGTCTGGCTACTACTTACTAAAAAAATGAATTACTAAACATAAATTATTTCTAGTCATTGTTACACGAGATCAAGCGTCATTGCAAAACTAAATGCTCGCCCTTGTACTTTGTCACGGAGATTTATCATGTTTGTTATGAAGCCGAAAAATTGGTCCCATTAGAGGTGTGATGTGACAAAATATTATGAAAAAGTATCTTTGTGAAGTAGGAGTGGAAAATATATGGAGAGTCTGAGTCTGGATGAGCGTTCGTTTTGCACCTGAGCCACCTAAATACAAAGAACGAAAGACGCTAGTAACTTTATTGATTTGTGCGTGCCATGGCACCGTTGATGTCTCAAAGCTAACTCGAGCAAAATTTCTAGATTGGTAATTCGTAATTTACTAAAATTATGAAATAGCGCTTTTAAAACTAAATTACCAATGTCAACCAGACGATCCATCTTTAAATTTTCAATGTTTGCTTACAAGTAAATTATCAAGTGTAATAAAAACAACAGTAAAAAAAAATTAATAATGTTAGATGTCGTCAAGAAAAACTAGCAATTGCTTTTGAAAGCGCAGTTGAGAATATCTTGAACTGATTAACTATATAACTATTATTGTAATTTTTATTGGAAAGTGAATGTATATCTGTTATAAAATTAACGTAACCATTGAATCAGTAGGCAGTATATTATGATCAGCAGTGGTGTGTTTTTTTACGTCCCGTTATATTTTCATTCTCAATATTTGCTTCCTCGTGAATTTTAACTTGCTAATTTTTCTTAACTCATTCATATAATACACAAAAGGAAGAAAAGTTGTCTTCTTGTAAAAAAATGTATAATTGCTAAAATGGACGCATTTAAACGAAACTATTTACACTTACACATATAAATACAGGACATATTTACCATGTGAAATAAGTAAAAACTAAGTTCTTCCAACTGCAAGAAAATTTCAGTAAACTAATGATCTAAGCTATGAAAGCACTCGAGAAAAAAAGTAAGAAATCTTCTAGCAGGGAAAGATACAAAGTAACACTCAAGATCATTTTCATTTTTGCGAACCTAATCAATGTTCACACGTAAAAATGGCGTATGTAATAAACTAAATACAAAAAAGAGAGAATGCTTTGATCAGCGCAGTTCATTTTTAAATCATTAAAACAACTTTCTTCGTTCTAGATAATTCAAGACGCGATTGTTTAGAATAAAAGAAACCGCAGAAATTATTCGAATCACAAACAAAAAAATGTTCAACGCCATAACACATAAAATAAAAAAAAACAAACAATTTTTCGTTTCGCACGCATGTTACCTTTCAAGGCTCATATTTAGCGTCGTATAAAAACAAAAATAATCTTAATGACAGAAATAGGTATAAGCTTGATGACGTCGATTCGAAACACTGTGAAACAGAATTCGAACGAATATGAACAATGTATATTTTATAATATATATATGTGTATGTTTGTGAATCAGACCTCTCGTAAAATTCAGCTAAACTATGTACAAAATGATATAGCCCTGGATGTGTGTGTGTTTATATGAACAATGAGGCAGGGCTCAAAAGAGATCCTATAATGTGATTACACAATGTTGGTTAATTGAAATTGATCATAATTAGCACTCTCGTAATTAATTAATAGTTTGCATTATTTGTTTTTTCTGTTCATTTTTAGCGAATATAATGTGGCAGTAAGTTTTCTACAAATAATACTCGCTTTTAATAGCTAAAAAGAGTCACACCCTCTAATCAGAGCACACGTCTTCTCTGTTTTATTTTTTAATCTTTCAATTTGCTTATATATTTTTCTTACACAATTATTACACATATTGGCAGTGTTTCCTTAGCTGGTGTGTATATCCTTCGAGTTCCTATACTCATATTTACTCTTATCATTAACTCGCGCCTTTTATAAACCACTTACACCTTTCTTTTTTTTTTTGTTACTTTATTTTCTTTTTCCCTCTTTCGTGACCGTATCTATACGTATTTACAACTGGCAGTGCCATCACATTAATTACGAATGTTTGCATTATCGCTATGATCTCTGTCCTACACTTCTTCCTGTTTGTTCTTCATTTACAATTACCCTAAGCTCCTATATGAATGTATACGTCTGTGATATTTCATTATCACGCCTTTACTCCAGAAATCAGTGTCGATGAGTGCTTTCATTTCTTTTATTCGCACAAGTATAAGTACTTTCATATCAAGTCTGACAAAACAAGGTTTCTATTTAAAAATTCACGCGCACAGAAGCGCATGAAAAATTGCACATTTTCAAATTATCAGTGATAAAAAGTAGCAATATATCTATCTAATTATTTATGAAAGCAACCTCTTTGGACATAGATTTCCGTAATGCACATCATACTTTTAAATCTCTTTCTGGCATCATTTGCTTTAATTCATTTCTTAATTCGCGCAAGTTGACAAAAATCCTAGTATTCCCATTTGTTTCTGTATATTTGCACTTTCTATATTCTCGATCGTTTAATACTATAGCATTGAAAATATACAACACAGCCTTCGCATTTTTTACCCGTGAAAGGATAACAGCTCGTCTCAGTTGATTTCTCTTTAGATTCGTTCAGTAGAATACAGAGTGATATTTGTACCCTAGTAAATTTGTAATTGCATTGAAAAATTTACAACACTTAGGCACGCGAAATATTCATTCCACTTGTATATAGTCCTAACATTATTTTTATGAACACTTTAATTATTCTATTGAATAGTTACATGGAAGAAAATTATATAGCATTGTTATCAAATTAGAACTCTCGATCATTCACTTTGAATACGTGTTTTGAAATAGTGATTCTTATTACCGACGCGGTTGGCCAAGAAAAATAATAATATAAACTCTCTTACTACGTGTATGATCATGGAATAATTTTTCGTCATAAAATTGACGTAGTTATGATCGCCATGTACGTCTTTGTTTCCGGTTACACGAACCTGAGGTCAATTAAAGTTACAATAGTAACAATATATATATCAAGTATAAGCAAAGATTCGATACTTTTACGTCTTCTTTTCCAACTTTCAAGTTGCGTTGAAAAAATGTTTGTCCAAACATTCCAAAATAGTTTCTTTTTCGAACAGTCTTGTGCACTCTAAAATGACAAATTGAGACTCACTTTCTGTCTTGAAACTGAGTATTAATAATTACAGTTCAAAGAAAAGCAATTGGAACCTTTTGAAAACGTTTTTTCCTCACACCCAGAGACTGTCAACCCAAAATAGGAAAAAATAACGAGCGGCTGGAAAGATCTATATTTTCTAGCTTGTGCACGTAGTAAAAAAACTACCTAGACACAATCATCGCTATAAATTTAAAGTCAACAGAAAAGCTGATTGAATATCTCAATGCTTATCCTATCTCTCTCTCTCTCTCTCTCTCTCTCTCTCTCTCTCTCTCTCTCTCTCTCTCTCTCTCTCTCTCTCTCTCTCTCTCTCTCTCTCTCTCCCTCTCTCTCTCTCTCACGCACACACATTTTGAACACTATTCAAAAAAGTTCGTTCTTCATTGCGTCTAAAGATGTAAATAAACAAAATCTTTGAGTCTTTGCCTTCGAGAGCCCAAAATATTTGCAGTGTTGTTTAGGGATTGATGATCGATTTTTAAGGCCACCAAAGTGATGATGATTAATTATTCGGCTTCCTTTCATTTCTCGTCGTCGTCATCCAAAGTCTTAATACTCCTGGTCTTTTAACTTTAGAGATTTACTAAAACGCTGCTGATAGGCACTTTCGAGGCTCGAACTTTTTTCTTTAATTTTAATCGTCGAGGATTCCTCACATTTTTTTAGGCTGGATTTTTGTGCGCGTCTGATGTCGCAGAGTAATAGTAGTAGTACCATTGGTTATAATCGTATCGAAACTTGATTGACAGTCGACTCGGGCAAATCGTAAAATTCGAAGTGGCAGTATAGTTAAGAAGAAGTTTTCTATCGGAGTCTGCCGGAGCTTATGTGATGCACTGGCCACATCAATCGGTCGCATTGTTCTTGCGTTTGCTCGATCGTCGTGGACTAGACAGCAACAGCGGTACCTTATCTACAGATAAACCCTGCAGAAAGTAAAAATAAACATCAGAGACCGTGGAATACAGCTTGCTTAACGTGAAATCATTCCACTTACCAAAACGAATTGGGTATTGTCATAGCGCAGTCATCACGTGTTCTTCAGGGGTTTTCGTCGCTGTTTAACTCGCTGTAGGGGAGCTTCGCTGGAGGCGTTGAGCGCGGGATACAGAATAGTATTCAACTCGTCGGGCTGCGACATTGCCAATGAACGAATGCTCACGTACTTTACGAGTTTTACCTTCGACTCCAATACCCACTCGTCCGGATGCCTATCGATACAATGTCGCGTATTAGAATTCTATCGCACGAGCGATTTATCACGAAAAACATATTGAAAGAGAACTCACATGTCTTCTGGATGCCATCGCAGTAATACTCTAGCTTGGCCATCCGGTTCAACTCTTCTCGCCATTACCTGCGAAACGTGCCGAGTTGAAATTAGATTACGGGAAAAATGTTTGCCAACAAGTGTTTATTTAATTACTTACTTGACTAGTTAAGGCCATCGAGTCACCGGGAGTTTCAGCCAGGTGACCTTGTGTCCTCGCTTTTGTCAGTTCCACCAGTCTGTGCTGCAAACCCTCCATTACGCCTGGGTCGAAGTAGTCAAAAGTTCGCGCTGCAATGAATAACGTAATTCGTTTATCGAAAAGTTTTAAGGACGCGAATGCCTTTCTCGCACAGAGACTTACCAGACCATGGTTGCCGTCTATATCTCAGCTTTTTTCCATTCCTCCTGACGAGTTTGCCGCCATTGTCGGTGCTCTTCCTTGAGCTGGTAGTATTGGTAGTTTCGGATTGATTAAAGTGGCCGTTCACATGCCTCTCGAGTGCAGTCTGCAAAGGAAGCCACGGGATATTAATGTCACGGATGGGGTACTTTCCAGAGAACTGTTTTTTGCTCTGCCTATTTTCTCGCTATGAAATTCCATTGTAACAATCGATGCCATAACTCTCTTGCGTTTTTAAATGCTAGATATATGCCAATTACATTCTGAGCCTCTTACGTTTTTACCACGTAGACGTTTTTTCTTTGTGTGCACAGGCACTCGACGCTTGCTCGGACGACCCGAGCGCGTGCAGTAACACATTTCCGCCACTGTTATCTTTTGTTAGCTTTCGAGCTCAAATCCGACGATTTTGACTGATAGTTTGATAAAATGGAAGAAAAATCATCACGTGAGCACAGACTGAATTTTGGCGTGATCGCGCAAAATCGAACGAAAGTTATGGAAACTGACGGTCTACATTGAATTCATTGGAAAGTACCAAAAATGATATGACAATTGATGATAAACTAAAAGTTCACGATTACGTTGATAACGAGAAGAAAAGGAATTTTCACGCGGCCTTCGTTAAAAAGAAAAGAAAGAGATCCGCGGCAGAAGCTCGCGAAACGAAACTTAAAATTTCAGCGTCGAGAGAAGTAAGAAAGACAACGATGCGCGCTGTCCAAGCGTTAACGTGTAACTGACTGCTTTTCACACAGTCGACATAACGAATACATTACCCTACAGGATCATGAGGGTGTATGGGTGTGTTATATTTGTGCGAGAGTGGCAGAGGGAATCACACGAATAGGCGACACCGGGCGACACACACACATACTTGATTACTCCCACTAGCATACAAGCTAGTCGAATGCTCGTTGATGTTCAGCAAACAAGGTGATTGTTGTTTACATTTCCATCGCATTGAATACAAATTTACAAAGTACATGTACATGTATGTATATATTTTTACAACAGTGTCACGATACGTATATCGTTTTCTTGATTCAATATGTGTTTCGTAGAAAGACTCACAGTTTCTTACGTTTCTCATATTCTAATTTGACAATATTTCTTATATCATTGAAATTTTTGTTAATGTTTCTTCAAGATTAGTTTATTAGATATATTTAGTTACTTAAATAAAGTATGCAAATATTCAAAGGAACAGATTCCCTTGCGAGGACAAATGAGTGAATGTAGCAATCAACTTGAAATGCTTAATTATTGAATTATAAATTTTTTAACAATTGGAATTCGTTGTAGTGAAATTGAATGGAATCTACTTGAGTCTATAAATATTTAATAAATTTCACATAACACACTCATCTTTCATCTTTGTCGATGGTATAATGAGGTCCAGTTCATCTTGGTTGAACGTAAAGTACAGAAATAGTACTCAAAAACATAAAACATACTGAGCATTGTAGACATGAGCTTTTAACAGCTTTTATATATTCACGATTAGACGAAAGGCAAAACGAAAATATGCGGATTTCAAAAGTCGTCCGCGCTATCAAAGTCAAACGAAGAGGAGCTTTTCCCCATGATGACCAACATTGTTTTACCAGAAAATGAACGCAGCGATAGAGGAAAAAAATCGGACACGGACATCATTACCTGCGAGCTAAATCGAGAACCGCAGCCGTCGACGATGCATTGGAATGGCTTGTTGCCGCCGTGCGACAGCACGTGTCGTTCGAGCCAACGCCTCGAGCACGAAGCTTTGCCCTGCACCTTGCAACCTTGCCAGTGGCAGACGAAGTTGTCGCCGCTCGTCTGCGAGTTGATGTGCGCCGTCTGTAAATGTCGATTGCGAGCGTTCGATTAATTAATCGCCGTTCGTTCGAAGGCTCGACGAACGCGTAAAAAGACAAAAGACTCGCCTGCAAATGTTCCAAGAGTGGGCCAGTAGAATCGCAGTTGACGCCGCACTTGTCCCACCGACAGAATCCACTGTCGGGAGTTGGATTTCTCTCTTTGCTAGGCGTCTTGGCTGGAAACCTGATGGTAGTTGGCGTCGACAGGATTGGCGACAGCGATGATGGTTTCGATTCGGCGCTGTCCCTCGATGACTCTTCTTCTTCGTCGTCGTCGTCCTTGGTCGAGTCGCTGGGCGTCGGTGGCAAGATCAGCCTCGACAGCAAATCCGTGCTGTTGTTGGGCTCGTTGGTCGAGTTTGTCAGATTGTTGTTCTCGTTGATGAGGATCGTTTTGGCAGTGTCCTGGGCATCGAGAAATATCATTGAAAATTGATCGCTGGCGCGTTTGCCGGGATTCGCTCTTTTAGGTGATACCGTTCGAACGTAACCGATAAGCGGATCGCCGATCGAGCAATTAATTAGCGCTGATAAGCGATATCGCGATCCGCGCTCAGGTCCGCGATAACAGGATATAAATGCGTTGAATTAGGCGACTCGGTAATCGGATAACGCATCGCTGTACCTTGAACTCGTCAGGCTGCTCGTCGTCCAGGGCAGTGGTCGTATCCAAGCTCGGTGGCGGGGATATACTCGGATAAGCCTCGGAAGCGAGCCTGAGACTGGAGATCTTGCAGGATGGCAGTGTGGAGAGCACGTCGCACGGTATTGGCAGAACGGGCAGTCCTTGGCTTTTCGCGTTGTTGGTCATCGCCGTCGTCGTCATCGTCGTCGCCGTCGTCGTCGTCGTCGTCGCTGCTCCGGAGGGCTTCTTATTGATTTCCGAATGCTGGGCGCTGAGGCGCGCTGCGTGGAACGCTCGCGCCTGCCAGTCGCCTCGGCTCGTCTTGCCGAGGCCGTTCTTCATGTGGCGCTGTACCGCGTTCGGTCGGCGAAACTCCGGCGAGCTCTTGGACAGCGCGTGACTTACGTCGCTCTGCTGACTCTTCTTGGTCTGCGAACGGGAAGGGGGTTTCATTAGTCGACTCGTTGCCGAGTTGCCGTGTTGCCAAGCCAAGAGAACAATGACCTTGGACTGTTGCGGCTTGATCTGAGTCTTAAAGTACTCGGTGATCTTGCCCTGTGACTCTTGCTGTACGGCCGGCGAAGAGACAACAGGAGGCTTGTTCTGTAACTTCACCTGAGAAGAGCAGCTCCTGGGCGCGGAGTCGTCTCTCAGCCTGGGCGTCACGCCCGGCTCGGGTTCGGCTTTGAACCTCTTGTAGCCGTTGTTGCCGCAGCTCGAGTGCAAGCTCTGGGCCAACGGCGGCGTCCACGGCCACTGAAGCGCGCGCGGCTGCTGGCCTGTTGGGCTTTGCGTGGTCGGCGCCAGCTTGTCGGCGATGCTGCTGCTCGACGAGGACGAGGACGTGGACGAGGACAAGGACGAGGGCGAGGACGACGGCGAGGACGACGGCGAGGGGCACACCACCACCACACCCTCGTCGCTGCTGCTCGTCGTGCTGCAGGGCGAGCCCGGCTCGGTTATGTCGCTGCCGCCGCTACTGCCGCCGCTGCTCAAGCTGCTCAAGCTGCTCAGGCTGCTCAGGCTGCTCAGGCTGCTGCTGCTGCTGCAGTCGCCGCACGAGACCGCTACCCCGCTGCAATGCCCAACAGACGTTCGTTATTCCGACGCCGAATCGACCGACCGACCGACCGACCGAGCGAACGAGGCTAGCGAGACTTCATTCGCTTCGAGATCGTTGTGAAAATTGAAAAGCCGAGCGACGCGCAGGGAGATGTCACAGAGACGAGGACGAGCGACACGGAGCTCGCGCACAATTGGCAATGCCCGACAACCCTGTAATCAGGTTTCCGCCGCTGCCATAATGTCATCACCCGGCTAAGCATGCAATTTCTCTGCTTCATCTTGAGCGCACTTACTCTTTCATTTCTTTTCGGGTCAGCAAGTTTCATTTTAATAACGCTAGATTGTCCGACAAGCGACGACGTGAAAGTTATTCCGAGCAGGCATGCAATTGCCAATGCCAGAGTGGGACAGGCCTTTTACGCGCGCTGTACACGAACTTTTCCTATTTGAAAACTACCCTCTCGCGTCCGCGTCAACACGTCCCTTATCGCCAGACCAAACTTTCGCTTGGATCACGTAGTTGCGCCGAGCGCAAAAACGTTCTCGCTGCGCGAGCCTCGTCGTTTCGTTCTCAAAGCTCGTTGCGTAGTTTTTCTTCATTTTTTGGCTTTCACGAAACATTGCCACAGCATTGATTGCTACCGATTGATTTTCGCCGGTGGATAGAGGAAAACTACACAAACGGAAATAGCGTTGAAAACGCAACGACTTTCTGAAATGGAAAAACAGCTGATACGATTGCTCTTTCAAATCTTTCCGACAGTTTCTTCCGAGAAATCTAAAGCTTACGCTCTTCGCTCCATTTGAATTCCGACTCGGCCATTCGATCGTCAACCAACTAGGCCTGGGATACAGGTAGCTGCGGATCAACGAAGGAAGGTTTATAAGAAACTATCATCGCGAATCGAACCTTGCAGGTGGCTCCGTCAGTCGTTCGTGTACCGAAGCTCGAGCTCGAGCGCTGAACCTTTTTTTTTGCTCGCCTCGACGAGGCTGCCGCCGCGTCGTCTTATCAACGTTACGTCGCTGATATTCTCGAGATTATTAACGCTCGTCTGCCGTCCAAGCGAGGAAGAAATGTTTGCGCTCCGCGCGTGGCGTCACGCCGAGAGAGACGCACCTCGGTCGAGCACCAGGACGACGACGGCGCGCGGCGCGGTTAATCTCTTTTATTTGTCGATAGCTAAAATAGAACGTCCGCGCGGCGACTCTGCTAATTTTGCCGCTGCGCGCACAGGCCGATAGTCCACTTCCGAATCGCACGCTCAGCCTGCGCGTTACCGCTTATCTCTCCTCGCTTGGCTAGCATTTTAATTAGCGCATCACCAAGTGCATTTGCAGTCTCACGTTCGCTTTGTCATTTAACTCATCGTCAGCTGTCACACTGGGACGTTTTTCGTTCCACACACATAATTTGTTTTTTGCAATCAAAACAATTGTGTTTGGTCTTTAACTATGGTTTTGTAGGATAGTGTACGTTAAAAAAATATATATATAACTTGCAAAAAACTTTGAAAAATCACTTGCTTCTGCTTGAGGCGTTGCCGCGAACGAGCCCAGTGTGGCAGCTCAGGATTGAATACTTTCGTACAATTTCTTCATGTCTGAACATTTTGGTCGTTTGAATAATCAAGCGAAGAACCACGAAACGATTACATTCCGACGGGAGAATGAATAAGTCGCAGTGTCATAACTGAAATAGTTTACTTATCGTTCAATACTGTGCACTATTCAGTTATGTTGTGCATTCATTCTGTCCGACCTATTCCTCGTACGCATTTTCGTTCGTACCAAAAACAATCGTACAATAAGCCCAACAATCTTGCGAACTCCATCAAGTGAATTGACAAATCCAATTGCGAAAACTCATCGTTCAATCAAAGCGAAAGCGTGAAAAGTCCAACAGAGGCGTTTAAACTGCTGGACGATTTGATTAGCATCGCGTCGCGGCTATTAAACGAGAGTTGAATAAATCGCCGACTACCTCTGTAATTTCGCGAGCGCGTGAAATTGAATTTACACCTGCAATATAATCGTAAAATATTTAGATGGATAAGAAAGCTCTCAGACCAAAGAACAGCGTATTCCCATCCGAAACCGTTCAATTTTTCATGTCGTTCCGCGTCGACAAGTGATGGCGTCTCACTCTCTCTCTCTCTTCTACTCTACGAGGAAGAAGAGAGAAAGAAGGCAGCGAACAAAGTTCAGTCGCAGGAAGGAAGGGGCAAATTGCTCGAAACAAGACGAAGGAAACAAAGCTCATTAAGGATAGTTGTGGTTTCTTTTCAAGCGCGAGTCACATACACAACCTACTCTTGCGGACAGCAAAGAAAAAAAAAGAGTGCAGCGCCAGATGTTCGCTCGGGCTATCAGTATTAATACAACAGAGTCCAAGTAAAGTCGGTAGTTTGACGAAGTTCGCATAGCCGACGCATAAATCGCGAAACAATGGCTCGCGGTAAAAGTCAAAGTGTACGAGGCTAGTAATCGCGAAACTTCTTTTCACGGTCGTTCAAGCGTTGCGTCACCGAGCGGAATAAAGTAACTAGGCAGTCGTTAACAAGCAGCGCTTCGCGAAAAAAAATTGATTTTGAAAAAAAAAAAAAAAAAAAAAAAGAAAAAATAGACTTGCCAAGGCTACGGATACATTATCTGCGGAAAAGCCGTGCGTACGGCGAGAGCGCGTCGGCGTATAACTGACCTACACCCATGTTGTGCGCACGGCGCGTGTATATAGCCTCTCGCTTGTCGTCACGCGATCCTCCTCGTGTCGCTCTCGATTGACGAGCGCGCGCCCGCGGCGCCACTGGCGAGCCGAGTTTTGGCAGCTGCCGCGCGCGACACTCGTCGAGTGGGCCGCGGCGCGGCCGCGCTGATCTTTCAGTTTTGCACGCTCGTCGCGTCGCCTGCCAACGATAGATCTCGAGTGCTCGCTCGCGGCCGAGCGACGCAAGAGTGACACGTCCATCGATGTCCTCTTTCGTTCATCAACGAACGCGTCAGAGAAAGTAAAGGCAAGTTGTCGAATTTACCGCGAACTGTGGAGTTTTGTTTTTAGCCTGACTGGAAATAGATGAAATAGACTCGTTGAAAAAGCCACTGGTCTAAGTATATGTACAGCCGAGAAAAAAGGTCGATTGGCTGAGACGCTTATCAAAACAGCGAGCGTCAAGCCGAGGGAGGCAATTGTTTCTTTATTAACGGGCCAACGAGCCGACAGACAAAACCAAAGCACAGATAGAATAGATAGGATCGAGAGTTATGAGCTGGACGCTTGACGAGGGAACGACAGCCGGAAAACCGATAGTGGCCGGATCTTCTGGCTCATTCTCGCTGGAAAATCTCAAAGACGAGCTGCGCGCCAGAGAGAGAGAGGGAGAGATACCAATACGACGACCCTCGAGGTTGAGGCAGTAGTCCTTGGAAAATTTAATTCCGTTATCGCTGTGCTCTCCTTCGTGGCAGATACATAAAGTGCGTTGGCTCGTCGATGGAGTGTCCAGGCCGAGATTGGAAATTGCTACTTGGCAGAGCGGTTTTTCGAATTTCGGGACGATGGCCCGCGACGACGACGCTCGCCCAATCCTCAAAACAAAACCTCCGTCGCACAGATACACGCGGAGCGGCGAATCGCATGGCGCACCTGGCTTTACGACGCATCATCCAATAAACTTTACGACGTTATCCTTGAGACGGAGAAAGAAAGAAGACGCTAAACAGCCCTCGTAAAATATGCCACTGGTGGAGGAGTCGCTTTGGCCGCGGGCCTTAAAATTGGCGTTTTCGGGGGAGGGGTCCTAATTGCCGAAGGAAGGATCCTCGGCCGTTCGCCGATTTGCATGTGGCGTCGTAATATACGAGGTGCTGCGGAGTCTCGCTACCGTGCGCGTTTCTTTTTTCTCTTCGATGAAATATGAGCCGGTCGCCGCGATGTTTTGCCGAGGACGTAGGTGCAGGCGAGAGAGCGCCGGTGAGGCGGGAACGCCAATAATCGGCGGCGATGAATAATTCACCTTGTCGTTCGGTAATGACGCGGCGCGCGGCTAACGACTACGACGATTACAAAATCGATTAGCCGCTAATGACAAAAGCTGCTGTCTTTGCGTAATGCGCGAGCCTCTCGGCTACGATCGCGCGCGACCGCCAATGCGGTATAATTAATGAGACGAGCTCGGCCGATAAAGTCCAATGATGCGCGCGCCTCGCTCGCCGTCATTCGTGCTTTTGCAAATCGGATGGACCTTTCAACGGGACGTCGAGCAACCGCGAGCAAAGGCCGGCTTAATCGGGGCAGCCGATGCTTTTCAATTTTCGCACCCAATAGAAAAATACTTTCACTCGGGAAAATATGCTCTCGCTCGGCGCTGCAAGCCCCCGTATACATTTCAAGCGCTATTTACTTAGCATCGAAAACACCCTTCGCGCTCGCGCGCCTAATACACACGCGCGCTCCGAAAGCGAACCGAATGAATTTTTGCGCGGGCCAGTCTTATAAATCAAAAGGAAGAGGAGGAGCAGGAGGAGCAGGAGGAGCAGGAGCAGCAGCGGCGGCAGCGGCAGGAAAAAAAGTCGAGAGTAAATAAACGGCTTGGCAAGACGGAGGAGACTCGAGGGGCTGCTGCCAATCAGTCATATAGAGGCGAGAAGGGTGTGCGCCACGACCGATGCCCCCGAGGGGTCACCCATCGGATTAGGCTTGCTTCGCGCATTGTCGAGAGCGCCACGACAAAAATGCTTGGGAACATCTCGCTTCCTCTCTCGATCTTCGCTTTAAAGAAAATTGCTTTCTTTTTTCCCTTTTCTCCTCTCGCCGCGGGGAGGCACTCTGCTTAATTGGATTTTCTTTCGAGCTTTCCGCGATAACTGGAGCGCGAGTCGAAATAACGAGCGATCGCATTTGCCGCGACGGCTTGGCCGAGCAATGTTCGTCCGCCTGATAAACTTCGCGGTCCTGTTTGTAAAATCAGGATTCCCGGTCACGCTCCGTCGTTGCGAGCGAATAACAGCGTC